CTGACAAGTCAAGGTCAGAAGTGCACAATTTTTCTGTATAATATAACGCAGTTTCAATTTTGATTAGTGAATTTTCTTCAAGCTGTAGACCCTATGGCCATTTTCTGAACATTTGTATAAGCTACGAAATATTTCTCAGTCCAATTTTCTCTAAGTCCAAATGAGTGGCGTTACGACGCACTTCCGGTTTTCGTCGATATCTAAACTGCAGCAGCAGGGCGTTCTACCTCAAAATGTGCGCAGCCGCTTTGATTGGAATTTACAACACTTATTTTTTACATGACATAGCACCTACGTGCATAATTTGTGAGCTTTAGCTGTCATACATTTTCTAGTGCCAATTCAAATTGGAAAAGGAGCTATTCCGACGATTTCTTGAAGGGCAAGTCTATGAACGTGCTACAGTTGTCGTATGGAATCATAGTCGACAAACGTTGTCGAAAATCCGTATCGATCATACAGAGTTACAGACAAGTTGATAATTTGTGTTTATCTTATAGATAATTGTTTAATTTCCTTAAATTGATAAAACAGACTGAAGTGTCGTTAGAGACGATTGACGATGCGCTGAAATTGCGCAAATCGTCAAATTACGTAACGACCGATCTACCTTAAATAAATTGCAATTTAGCGAGAATCTCCTCGGAGATAGATCGATCCACAGTTGGTACGATATGGTCTGGGAAAGGTCAATATATTTGGCAAAGGTCAACAGGGTGCCCCTCTGTGCTTTGCCAGTAGCCGCTATTTTTGGTATGACGTCAGCTTTCTTCACCACGTGGATAAAGAGCAGGCAGTGTTTTGCATTTTAGAGGTCTCAGATGTTGTTAAGAAGTTTTTTGTATGAAAGGAGATTGGAGAACAGTAGTAGGACGTCGGTTTCAGAATGTGAAAGGCGAATTCGCACTCACCTACACCGGAAAATAAATTACCAGAGATTGTCATTTAACAGTAGGCCTACAGGATGTATAAAGTATACGTTTGACGAAATTCTGGGTTATAGTAAATATTTTTTGAAAAAAAGATCAGAGTGTATGGTAGATTGAACTATCTCTGCGATTATTTTACGACGTCTTACATAGTATTTTTACTTTATCTGCAACGAAAATCCATTTTCTTCGCAGGGTTTGGTACCGGCCTCGTTTACACGGCTACATCAGTATGTGTTGGTCAATATTTCCACAAGAGAAGACCTATGGCTCTTGGTATTGCTACGGCGGGTATGGCCCTGGGGCAGTTTATGTGTCCACCTCTGTTCCAATTTCTCATAGACACATACTCATGGCGAGGATCTGCCTTCATAATCGCAGGATTATGTCTGAATAATTGCGTCTTTGGAACTATCATGCGACCTTTAAGAGAAACACACAGAGACACAGACGAAGCGGCGTGCCCGGAAAACGAACGCCGCGCACAAATAGCCAAAACCAACGAAGCTTCCTTAAACGACGCCAAAGGCCGCTTGAATGTACCGGTGCAAATAGATAACGATATAAGCCTAGATACGACAGCAACGCCAAACGGAATACACCGTAATTCAAATGACTCAGTACCAGGCAGCCACACTAGCATACATCGCTTTCGTCAAGAGAACAGTCACAGGATGGCAGGGCGTGACAATATCTTAAAGACGGAGCCAAGACATAGAAGCCTGGGCGTGTCCTCTTTTCTTAGTGTTTCAATTGGAGCTTTCGGAAGCATGACGTCGAACATTTCTCAACATTTTGTTTCAAATAATCAGCTCAGTGAGGCAGTAGAGAGAAACAAGCCAAGTTGCATGGATTACGTAAAGTCTATTTTGGACATTCATCCCTTAAAAAACCCGGAGTTTATTTGTTTTGGTATATCGGTGTTGTTTTGGGCCGCTCAGGTGCTGACGTGCGGCCTCCACCTCATAGCCTACACTCTACAGCACGGAACCACCCCTATTCAAGGCGCCATCTTGTTGTCGGTGTTTGGCGCGGGAAACTTTTTCAGTCGTCTCCTCGCCGGGGCCGCTACCAACGACAAAGAGCACGTAGATCAAGTGACCCTTGGCGCAGGCGTCATGGGAATAACAGCCCTGTTGTTGTTCTGTTTTCCAGCACTAATCCACAGCTATTGGTCCCAAGTCTTGTTCGCGGCTCTCTATGGTGTCTACTCAACAATCCTTATACCTCTATTGGCACCAATGACGGTTGAGACTGTTGGATTGTCATCGCTGGGAGCTGGGTTCGGGTATTTGATGGTGATGAGCGGCACCGGATGTGCGATTGGTCCTCCATTGGCTGGTAATAGATGCATACGCATGCTTATACACACAACAAAATACATAAGAGCACGTGCAATGTCGTTAGCCGGTATAACGTGACTGATGTTCCGTGTTACAAAAAGTCCGCCTTCCATTTAGTTATAATGGTTAGTGTTAGCCTGACCTAAGTGGGTCAAAATCTAGGGCGAGGCTGACCTGCATAAATGAATAGAAAGCGGACTATCTATCATGGGGGACTCTCTGTCAAGTTACACCGGCAGTCGTACTCGCACGTGCCTGCATGCTTAGAAGACAACACATTCTTCTCATCGCAACTAACACACTCTGCAATTTTCATTAGTCGTTCACTTCTCTCAATTTACGTTTTCTATCATGGCAAACGTCGCACCTTCGCTTTCAGATAACATTTCGTCTTACAAATATCACTGATCAAAGATAAATTAATCGTTTTACTTCACATGTTAGCGAAGGCTGATAAGTATGCGAACATTAGCTGTCACAACCGTGATATACGAACACGTGTGATAACTCCTCCTGTTTGCCAAGCAGGTCGTAGCATTAACCTTCTCCTTTTTAATCTTCTTACATTTTACAAACCTACATTCTGTAGGCCAGTGCAGTCCGCCGCAGATTCTATTAGGTCTGCTTTCTTTTTGAGTTAAACCATGCGCTTAATGTTAAATTGTATACAAATATTTTCTTTTTTTCCAGGTTTTATTTATGATCACACTAAAGATTATTCGTACTCGTTCTACTTTGCCGGTGAGTATTGTCACTGTCCGATTTTGCTGAAGAGATTGTGGCGCAGTTTATTCTGCTTCGCGTTGTGTAGGGCATGGGTATGTTTTTTTGGAGGGGGGTATCTCTGGAGCTAAGGGTATCTCTGGAGCTAAGGTGTGCTCTCCTTTACTCTGTCGTTCTGCGTTAAATAGATTATGATTCATGACACTGTCATTGGTTTTAATACTGTAATGGATGTCTATGTTTGAACTTCGTTTTCTTATAATAATGTATGTGCATATACCAAAATAAAATAAAGTTTAAGTTTGTCGTTAAAAAAGGGAAATTGCAGGTAGATTACATCCACTGTAGTATTCCACAAATCATTGTTGTCTCGTCAAAATAAAAGAGCGTTAACATGATTGTTGTAACATGTGCTGAGTCGATTCAAGGTTAAAATTTATTTTGCATTTAATATTTTCAGGGGCTTTATCTATGGGCAGCTCCATCATGCTATTAGCGATACCCATCCTCAAAAGCAGGCGCCTCAAAACTGAGAGTGACGTGACGTCAGCTTAGAGTTTTCGTGACGTCAGTTTGAGGGACCGTGTTATGCGAGGCGCGTGCATGGGCGTCCTCGTATATTCTATTCTTATGCGACGTTTAAATGTAATTACATAGTCACCAAGCTGTTTACTCTCATCTGTATGGGACAAAAACATACTGCGCACATTAACCATATGGACCTCAACATTTAACTGCAAAATGACAAAATTATTGAGTAAAATTGAGCGGTATAAAGTGTTCATCATTTTGTTAATATTTGAAAGTTACATAAAACGTGTGTTTAAAAGATTTGTTCAGTTTTGTCTTCTCTATCAGTTCTAAGCATCTGTAGCCTACGTTAACGATCCTTGTTAAGATTAATTTCCTAAGTCCGCGGACGTGGAAGCAATTTTGTTCCCTGTGTGACAGCACTGGAAGAACTAGGATTGAAGGTCCCAGTGCCCTTGCGATAATATTACTGTAGTACAAGTTAGGGTAATCATTAGGCACCAAGGTCGGTATCTGGGGACGAATGGGTTAGCCATCAGTATTATATCCAGTAGGCCTTAATATAATGGGACGGGTGTTACCTATACAAAGTAACGTGAAAATCACTGCCGTTCCTAGCTGACTACCATTCCTGTCACTTCGGTTGATTAAGCGTACCATACAGCCTTCCCGACTCCAGCAATTTTATAACACGTCAAACACGGCAGTACTAGAGAAAAAAAGATCAGCATAGATTCCTTCAAGATAGTTTCATTGGTGCAAGGCCCAAACAAGTTCTAAGGCATATTATTTTTCTCCTGTATTTGGCGCCGCCTGTTTTCGAGCACTGGAATCGTCAGTAAGACGAGGGATCCGGCCGCAGAGAATGAACCTACATTGAAAGGATGAGAAATAAGAAACAAAGTGGCAAAAGAACATTTAAATTTAAAAGTACAATTTATTTTAATTAAAGAATGAAAAACTAAGTGACAAAAAAAATTGAACATAAAAGTACTATTTTGTCAAGTTCCCCCGTACTGATTATCTAATGATATATAAAAGTTCTAATGGCAAAATCGAGCAGATAAGGCACATGACTAACCAGATGCATGGCCTTGAAAAACTTAGTCATCATTTTACATTCAAATTGTCACCCTAAGCTCAGTTTAAATCAACTTAATCAGCACACAATAGTAAATTACCCTTAACTGCTCTAGGTGGCGGGTCAGACAATTGCTTAATTCCACTGATTGCACTTTATCTCCCGCAGAGTACGACCGACCCAGCTGGTACTATTTGTGAATCTGAATGCGGCCTGATACTTATTATATATTTTAAGATTTTCAATTTTTCAAAACCTCACATCGATGACGCTTACTTTTAGCTTTACACATTAAAATCTCGTTTACACGCCAATGAAGCAAATTCAAGGCATACGTTTCAACTTTTTTTTTAAACATCTTTATTCTCAGGAGGGTTAAATATTGATACAGTATAAATAAAGGTGGCAATTCGCCTAGGCATTATATGCTCACCTTTGAAATTTAATAATAATAATAATAGTAATAAAAATATTCAAGAAAAAGACAGTGACGAGGACATGAGTGGCATTAGAGGGGAGTGAGGGACAGGGCATAGGGGAAAGGTANGTAGAGGTAGCATGGATTTATTTCTAAACGGGATGAAATAGGTAGAGACATAGGAAGGTGCTAGTTGATTGTGGATATTGAACATGATTTCTTTCGCGTGGTTTCCTCGACGTTCTTCTAGTGAAACCCAGTTCAGCTGTTTCAGTACTTTACAGCGATTTGAGCCGCTTACTTTTAGTTTTACACATTAAAATCTCGTTTACACGCCAATGAAGCAAATTCAAGGCATACGTTTCAACTTACCTGCAAAATAAAACGAATTTGAGTAATCCTTTGTGACATCGTATAGATAACCTTCAAAACAAATTTAAAATAAGAATTAAAGAGTTAATGAGAAAGAAAAAAATTCATTTGTACAGTTCATATCTTCGCGAAGTATATAATAATTATTTGAAAGCTGTTCATTATTACAGGAGCGAAGAATTAAGGCATTTAGAATGTTTAGAATGCTAAATAGCTAATTGTCTTCATTGACAGTGAAAGACGGAGCCCGGATGTTCTCAGCCACGCCCATCAACGTCAATGAACCACACGAGCCTTCCCAAATGGACATCTCAAACAGACAAATTAACACAATAGGATCATAATTACCTGCCAGTGGAGGGCCAATTGCACATCCGATACCGCTCATTACCATCAGATACCCAAACCCAGCTCCCAACGACGACAGTCCCACAGTCTCAACAGTCATTGGTGCCAACAGAGGTATAAGGACGGTTGAATAAACACCATATAGTGCAGCGAATAGTATTTGGGACCAATAACTTTGTATGAACAACGGTAAACAGCACATGAGCAGCGCTGAGATCCCCATGACGCCTGCGCCCAGGGTAACTTGATCCACGTGCTCTTTGTCGTTGGTAGCTGCCCCGGCAAGCAGACGACTTAAAATATTCCCCACGCCATATATTGACAACAGGATTGCGCCTTGTTGAGGGGTGGTGCCGTGTTGTAACGTATAAGCGATAAGGTGAACAGAGCAGATGAGACTAGCGGAAGCCCAAAAGAATACTGCAATGCTTAAAGAAATGAACGGCGCACTCTTCAGTGGCCGAGTGTCCACAATCGCCTTCATATATCCTAAGCAGCCTGATTTGGCATTGTCTTGAGCTGCATTAAGCTGCCCGTTTGATACGAAGTGTTGAGAGATATTCGACGTCATGCTGCTGAAAGCTCCAATCGACAGGCTGAGAAGCGCAGACGACTCGAGCGTGCTGTGCTTGTTTCCATTTGCCAAAAGGCTTGACTGGCATGCATGCTTGACACTGTCATCATGAAAACAACTGGAAGAATCAGCCTTTGTTGCGTCATTTGACAAAGCCTGCGGGCTTGTTTGGCCAGTGTCGTCTTTGGCAGCGTCCACGTTAATCCGACTACTTTCCTTTCGTGGCTCGTGGTCACCGTTGACTACAGACGTTTGGTCGGTGTCTTTCTGTATCTGCAAACGAGAACTTTTACATGTAGAACTTATTACGCCCTTTCTTTCGACGTGAAGTTCTTTTAGTGGTTTCATTATAGTTCCAAAGACGCAATTATTCAGACACAGCCCTGCGATGATGAAGGCAGATCCTCGCCAGGAATACGCGTCTATGAGGAATTGGAAAAGAGGTGGACACATGAACTGTCCCAGGGCCATACCTGCTGCAGTAATACCAAGAGCCATAGGTCTTCTCTTGTGAAAATACTGACCAACGCATACTGTTGTAGATGTGTATACGAGACCCGTACCAATCCCTGCAAAGGAAATGGAATCTTCGTGTGATTAAGGCTACAATACTTTTGAAGACTGAACAATAATCTTAAATATGGTTTTATCGCACGCCTGCAAAAGATGTAATACAAGAATTATCCTCACGACAAATATAGTTTATAAGATAGGTAACAGATAGTTATATATGTATTTGGCGGTTCAATAATCCAATAATATTGTAGCGGTTCTTCTTCCCTCTCACTGACGGTAGCGTAACCAAAGATTATCGAGGGAAGAGCCGCTCAGATGAATACACCGATGCCAGTTGTTGCTTCGCGGTCCGGACACCGGCGTTAAACAAGTAAGAAGAAACGCGTTTTTTAAAGATTCATAAACTCTAACTGCAAACTGTAACAATGAAACTAAAGAATGATGCAACGTCTCTTAAGTCCGTTTGATTTTTCAGACAAATGAAAGTCATTTCTTCATAATGTCCATACGGTAAGCCAAATTACACACGATAAATTTCACACTTAAGTCTTTAGTTGACTATAATTTTAATCATTTCGTCAAGTGTTACAATATTTCAGTTTTCAGTTTATCAAAAAAAAAGGTTCCACTGTCATTAACGTGGATTGAACGTAATACTGTTTTATAATGTAACATTTGGCACATTGGACATATGACTGTCTCGGCAGCTTTGATAACAGCCATGCAGCAAACAATACTAAGCTGCTGGTCTAAACGTGATCAAGAAGTATTCAGTGAAATATCACTGAGGAGGGATAGGGTGACTAAATTGATTAATACATTAAGTTGGTATAACGGCTCTTTTTATTCAGCTAAACGCAAGAATGTATACATGCGCGCGCACAATGGACCTTATAGGCACTCTTACGTAACTTACCTACGACAATCCCAAAGGTTGCAATAATCTCTGTTATATTTGTGGCAAAAGCGGTACCAATAAAGCCGACCGCTGATATAATGGCACCCAAAAGAATGCTTGTCCTACAACTGTACTTGTTGGCGATGATGCCGCTCACCAGACCTGTCAGACCACAAACAGAGTTCTGCAAACTGCCAGCCAGAGAAACGTAACTCCGCGTTTCTTCGGGAAACTGAATCAAGAACTCGGCGTTGTGCACGCCGACAGAATTGTTGATGCCGATGTTGATGCAGTTGCAGAAGAAGGACGCTACCAGTACAGCCCAAGCCCAGCCTCTGTCTATGTCCTTGTAATTTGCGTTTGATTTATAATACACTGTTTCTTCTCTAATGCCAGATTCACATTCAGTATTCTTGCTATGTTGAGGTTTCTGGCCTTTGCTGTTTGCATGCTGCACTGGAGGATGCAGATAACGCACGGCGTTGTGTGGGGAACAACCACTATCAAAGCTGTCTACAGAGTTACTGCGAGGTTTACTGTACACGCTGTATGCTGAACCTAGACTGAAGAAACCGCCGAGGTTGAAATCGGAATCAAACAATGCAGACATTTGAACCAGTGCAGCTTTTAACTTGCTGTGCTGTTGGTATTCGCCGGCCAATAGACCAGAACAGTACCCTATACGCCGGTCCCTTGATAATGCTCAAGGCTAGGCTTTCAATGTTATCAGTCCTTTCCAAACGTAAATATATATAAGTCGCTACAACTGGCCTATACGGATAGGTAAATAAACACCAGATCGGGTTTAATCTCAACTAAATTGACTCTGAAGGGCCGTTGGGATACGATCGCGTTTATTTAAAGCAGTGACCTAGATCGGGCACAATACCTGGAGCTAAATGCTATTCGACCTTTAGATTGAATTAAATATATATTTTTCTTAGAAATGAAATGTGAGCTCCAAGCTGTGTTTATAAATGATGGATTTAACTTTTACTGGGTCCCTTATTTAAACTGATAAAAATGCCGTACATTTTTGCTCGGCTTCGTACTCGGCTTTTACCTACATGTAGCATACTATGGAAATATAGGCCTATAGCAATTAAGTCCTTTAGCGTTCAAATCGTTTTGAATAATTTACAGTCAGTCTTTCCTATATAGTTACTTTGATGTTAATTCCTTTATTTAACCTCGTCATTTCTATAACGAGACAAAAAACAGAGTTCGATAACCATTTAACCTTGTGACCACGCAATTACATTTATAATTGTTGCCCAAATAGTCCACTACCTNGACCCCCTTTAAATTTGTATGGTCAGGGAATTATATCTGGTATGGTGTAGGTTGTATATCATCACTCGTGGAGAAAAGGGTGACATTATGAAAAACGCAACTCTTAGAAAATCAACAGGCAAAGCGTCGACGCTACAAAAGGAGCTCAAATGCAAAGTTTAACTTGATTTAATTATTGCTTAAACCTGGCTGCTACTGTGACTTAGTTGTATAACAGCTGCTGGATCGGAATTTTTGAAACATACTTATACTAAAATTTAACTAATTACTTACTTGCCGGTTTGATTTTTTATATTATTTTGTGTATTCAAAATATCTGATTATAGCAAATTTGTTTTACTAAATACCACCTGACCCAACTAATACTCAAGATACATTTTCATCTTTTGCCCAGATTTGAAAAAATACTGAATATATGTCGAGGTTTTTTTTATTAAAAGGGTGTTATAAAGTAAGATTCCAGCCCCCCTCCCCCCCCACCCCCCGCCCCGCCCAAGACAGCCCCATCCTACCACAACCCCCGGTCCAACCAGGGAATTTTATCCGATATAATTTCATGGTCCAACACACCCTGAACCCTCCCCCCTCCGCCCCCCCTCCAAAATTGTATTTGCTGACTACCTGCTATTAATATGCATTTTTTATTGTATTTACAACATTTAAGTTATATCTAAGCCGTAAAATTTTATTGTTTTAAAACAAGCTACAAGAAATGCAGAGAATTATTCAATACATATAATTTCACAGAAAAAATTAAGAAAGATGGAGAAGGGGAAAACAAAAAGCTGCATTATGGGATCTTTGTCTCTTTAACCGTGTAGAACAACTATACTTTCGATGCCAACTTACAACTTAAAATGAAGCCAGTTAAAAACTACCAATACCGGTAAATTAAATTGCAATTTAAGTTTTATAATACCTGACCCATGAAATTATGGCCATCGCCGTGTACATACTTGGATCTGGGAACACCACGTTAATATAAAGTCACTTACATGTAGGCATTGTCATGTTTAAAGCCAAAGCATTGATATACGGCGTTGTTAATTTCTAGTAAATAGACAAATCCACGGTAATATCCAATTATGCACTACGTGGATATACAGTATGCCCGTACAACCCAGGAAACACAAAACGTTAATATAACGTTATCACAACAACAAAAAATAACGATTTGGTAACGTTATAATAACGATCTGTGTTTTCTTGGAAATCACTAATCATGCCTCATTAACCAGTTGAAAGACCGACATCTGAGGATCCTGGGTGTCCAATATCTTCTCCTAGAGCATGGTTTGCATTGACGTGGACGTGCGGTCACAATGTCAGCCTCTTTACCCACTGCCACTATAGCTGGAAGAACCTCGGTCGCAAACAGATACTGGCGCTCCCTATCGAATGTTTCCACGGTGGTGGGCGTGTCCAGATTGATGAATTGTCTGGAAGACGCTGTGTATGCCGGCCATTGGACGCTGACTGGGTCACCAACATTTGGGTCACTGAAAAGACGAAAGTGTTGACTGATAAGTAAAATAATGAAATAAGATATTGAGAGTGAGCATACCCAAACGACATTGTGACGTTGCAGTAAGGTACACACTTGTCACGGGTTATTTCGTAGAGGGAAATTTCATATTTTAATTTAAATTAAATTACACTTGATGGACACTAGACCCATTGAAAGTTAGCGGACATAAAGTACTTAGGATTTTCATTTACAATTATCATCAATGTTTCGGTTACATTAAAATATCCCCGATATTTGATTGTATATATGTGATCCTACCCTTACCCATTTTTTGCAAAGTTAGCTATAGACCGCCTGATCATTTTGCCAAGTTCCAATTCCTCAGCTGTCAAGTTATATACATCCGGGTGCTGTTCAAAAACACCAAAGTACAGAATTTTGGTATCGAAATGTCCAGCTCGTACAAAAGTCGCTTTGAGTAAGTAAGAAGGAGGATAGCCAAGACGAACAGATAATGTGTATTTACGGCTTGGCACCTCCCGCTGCGTGTAATCTCGCCGACTCCTCTGCCGGCATTCCAAACAGAAAGTCAGTGTTTTGCTGCACCGCCCGAGTCAAAATATCCAAAGGATCCATGGGGTCTTGGATAAGCCCGTATTCGTGAAGCAAAGACCTAGCAACAGCCTTTTCCACACTTTTCAACTTGAACTGATAGAACATTGATGCATATGTTTCGAGATTGAAGCGTTGCCGTGCAACAGTGGGGGGATTCCCTGCATAAGGAAGTGTGAAAATGCTGCTGTCATGGGAGGTTGCACCTACCATATATGGAAGCGGGGATGTCAAGTTTTCTCCCCGTAGGTGTCGTGGGTGCCTTGGTATGAATACTACATCTATATTTGGTCGCCAGTTGAGTTCTTTACGCAAACCTTCTTCCCTTATCTCTGCTAATTCTTGAGCGTCCTTAGTGCGGAGGCAGAAGAGTCTTGCTCTTGGTCGAGACATATCACATCCGGCCTTTTTCGAAAACTCCAAACTGACGTTCAGAGACTCACTCACTGATATCACTCCCTGTATCAAACCGCGATTTAGCGGAGAGATCATCTGATATTCCACCAAAACTCCTCCTGCTGAATCACTGATGAGAGTTACAAGATCAGGGTCTCCGCCAAACGCCTCAGAATTTCTCTCGTACCCATTTAATAGCCCAGTGCTGGTCATACAGGCCGTAATTTCCTCTGGCCTCGTCAGTCCCCGTGCTGAAAAATCCCCCAAAACCCAGTCTGTAGTTAAAAGTGACGAGGACGACATCACATTCCAGTGCAAGGATATTTCCATTTAAAGTCGCACCTGTTCCTGCCACGAATATGGATAAGAATATGGATAAGAATCGTTAGGCGAACACCCATCAACACCACGTTCAGAGACAGACAATCTTCCTCGCGTGTGAGATTGGTGATTGTTTTTCCTAGGTTGACGTCGTAGAAAATTGAGCTATCAGGCTGCGGGCAGTGGGGACCGAATTGCTTAGTTTGTCGAATGCTTTCTCACCATCCGGGCGTGGGGACCCACCTTAAGACCATCCCGGGCCCCACATTACATAAAATAACCTTTTAATATTAAAATTCCAGGGGTTGGGCACAATGGGCTCACAACTTTGAATAACGCTATCTGCAATACTGCTACATAGATTCCCAGGTTCCTTGTCTTAAATTCTGCACACGGAAAAGAATGAAACGACTCCATGTTGTAACTTCAACAGAATATATTTTGCTACACTAAAAGTTACATGATACAAGTATGACCTCTCTCTCCTTCTCTCTCAACATCCTCCTCTAGATTTAAGTTTACAGATTTTTTATACCAAACTTTATCAGTTAAACTGTCCATCACGTAGCTTAGAAACTGATTGATTACTTCATACACAAGGCCACCTTCTTCCAGGTGGGCACTCCTAATAACACCCTGTAATCTAGTTCTAACAGCTTACTGGCTTCGGAACTAAGGACATTAAAATTTGAACTGCAAGGAACAACTTGTACAACTTGGCTACAACGTGGCTTCCCATGTCTGAATTTTATCAAACAATGGCTTCCTGAAAATCACACATTTGCAATATATATGCTTTTTATAATATCTGACCTTTGACCCATCAATATACATGTATATATAGACATAGCAGTGTATATATACTACAGTAGCACCTTGGCATAACCTGGATAATATATTGGATTTGGGCATATAGTCCCCCTCCTGATATGCATAAAAGCGTTTAGAAAAGCTCTTTCCTTCAATATGTGATGTGGCCAAACAATTTTCACGGTACATTAAGATAAACAGTAAAAGAATATCCACAATAAATTCGGCAACCGAGAGGTGCGGCAACATATAGATAATTGCGGTAGTATTTATGCCGAAACATCAAAATAAATAGCCCCGCCGTTCGAGCCTTTTAATCAGATTCAGATCAGATTAACCAATCAAAGCAACGGAAAGGGGGTCACGTCACCTTCCCACCAGGCCATGCCATGTAAACAAAGCAGCATGGTCGGCTGTAATGAAGAGTCTGAGGAGGGAGACGCGAAATCTTCGCCAAATTCTCATCTTTCGTGTTGCATGCACATAGAAGAAGGTAGCTAATTAAGAGACTCTAGATACCATCACACGTGTTCGCTGGGAAAATTTTAGAGTCGCAGCGGCGGCAGAGAAGCCGCTGCTGTTCAGTGGATCCGTACAGTACGGATTTAGATAAAGGATTCGACCATTTGGAAGCCAAACCACGATGTCACTTTTCTTGCTACAGAAAGCTAACTAACAAGAAGGGGNAGTCAACAATCATTTCCTTAGTCTTCTCTACATTCAGTAACAAATCGTTGTCTTTACACCATTGTACAACTGAGTTGACATCGTTTCTATACCAGGTCTCATCATTATCACTTATTAAGCCAATTAAAGTGGTGTCGTCTGCAAACTTCACGATGCAATTACTCTCATGAGATGAAACACAATCATACGTGAACAAGCTGTACAGACATGGTGACAGAACAGAAAGCTAACTAACAAGAAGGGGTTATCTCAGGCGGCAAAGAAGTATGAGAAAGCTGAGAAACAAGGCAGTCCTGCTGAAGAAGGTATGTCAACATATTGTAATTTGTTTTTAAGTCAGCCCCGATCGTGTGATGTTTACATTGTACGTGGCTGATGTTACATAACAATATGTGACCGATAAAAGTGATATGAAAGAAAGAAAAAAAGAAAATGATAAAAACAAGTTTATTAGTACATGAAATTCTCAAACACAAGCCTCAATTTCTTTTTCATACCGTTAGCTTACGGCCCACTTGGTCAAAGGCCTTCATCAGACTGACGTGAGAAGTTGTTTACACTCACTGACCGCTAGGTGGTATAGCGGCCAAGACCCTCTTATAAATGTCAGGTAGATCAACCCTCCCCCCCCCCCCCCCCCCCCCGTCCCTATTCATGGGTGGCTGGTGTCGGCTGATGTTGATCGCCTCTCGTATTTTTCGCGGGATGTCGGATGGTTCAGATTCAAGAATTTTAGTTGAATCCCAGTCAATACTGTGGCCGGTGTCTATTACATGTTCAGAAATGGCAGAGCTGGTATTGCCTACAGTCACTGATTTCCTGTGTTCACTAACCCTGGTCTTCAACTGTCTGCCTGTTTCACCAATGTAAAAGGAATTACAATCATGGCAATTGATCCTGTATATTGTCCCACAACGTTGTTCTTGGGGGGTTTTGTCCTTTGGTGCCACTAGGTGTTGTTTAAATGTACACTGGGGTCTAAAAGCTGTGTTGATGCTGTGCTTTTTATAAATCCTGCACAATTTCTCTGAAATACCTTTACAATAAGGGGGAATCACTTACTGTTTTTTTTCCGACTGTATCTGTTGGCTCACAGTTAGTTGTTGCTGTCTTGTCCTGACGAGGTTTTAACTTTAACGCCCAAGGTGGGTAACCGCACATCGAGACAGCATCATCCAGTGTCTTGTTCTCAAATGTCCTATCTTCCTCATTAGTCACGATCGTGTTGCACCTGTGTTTTAGAGTTCTTACTACCCCCAGTTTCTGATGTAGTGGGTGGTGCGACTGGAAGTTTAGGTATTGGTTGGTATGTGTGGCTTTCCTGTAGACTTTCAGACTCAGGTGGCCGTCGATTTCACGTGTGATTAATGAATCCAGGAAAGCAATAGAATTGTTATCCTCCAGCTCTCTAGTGGACTTGATGTTACGGTCTTGACTGTTGATAAAGTCCGTGATCGCAGTTATGTGGTCTCTGTGGCAGATGGTGAACGTGTCGTCTACATATCTCAACCAAAGACGTGGAGGATTGGGCATGGATCCCAATGCAGCTTCCTCAAAGTTCTCCATATACAGATTAGCCACGATCAGACTGATTGGACTGCCCATGGCTGCTCCATGTTTCTGCTTATGGAATTCACCCTTATAGATAAAATATGTGGTGTTCAATACAATATCTAATAGCTCCGTGATGTCCTCTACTGACAGATTGGTACGTTCATAGAGGGTGGGATCATGTGTAAGTCTGAAACTGATCACTTTGATAGCATCATCCACCGGTACACTAGTAAATAGTGCACTCACATCATATGATACTAGGGCTTCCTGTGGTCCCAGAATGATATCCTTCACTTTATCCACAAAGTCCTTAGAGTTCATTACATGATGGCATCATTTACCTACTAATGGGTTTAAGATCTTGGCTAATAACTTTGCTGTCTGGTAAGTGATAGGTCCAAAGCTTGATACTATAGGTCTTAAGGGTGTGCCCTCTTTATGAATCTTAGGGAGGCCGTACAGTTTAGGTGGTGTTTCTGCAGTAGGGTATAGTTGAGCATACTGAGATCTAGATAGTTTCCCTTCTTTCTGTAGCCGTTGTAAACACTTGGTTAACTTACGTTTATAAGCTGCAGTTGGATCACGCTTTAGTTTCTCATAGGTGTTATCATCATTCAGCAACTGTTGTATTTTGTGCTCATAGTCTGTCCTGTTTAGAACCACTGTTGCCCGTCCTTTATCAGCGGCCAGGATCATAATGGACTTATCCTTCTTTAAGTCTAGAAGTGCCCTCCGTTCTTCTCTGCTGATGTTGTCTGTCGGGGGTTTAGATGATTTGATCGCCCCTACGATCTCTGAACGCATATATGCTGTCTCGGTGTTGTCAAGATTTCTACATACTAGATCCGTCTGCACGCTGATGTCTTCCACGGGTAGAATCTTCGGAGCTACGGCGAAATTTAGCCCTTTCGCTAAGAGACGTATCTCCGTATCAGTTAACATGCGGTCCGATCGGTTGATTACCCATTTCTTGAGTTGGGAACCACTTAAATCCACCGACGCAGTCCTGTTCTTCTCAATCAAGTTTGAAAACTTTTTAAGATGGCGGTCTTTGGTAAGCGCATGCGCAGCTTCATACTTCCGTTTACAGAAGTCCTCTACTGATGAGTACTGATCAGTTGTCAACAGGTCTCTAAAATGTTCCGTGTTTTTCACTATCTCTGTCCTAAGGCTCGTGATTTTGTCATTACAAATACGGATTCTTTCCCTCAGTAGGTACTTCTGTGCTTTCTTCAAGATTCTGATCGCATTCTGTGTTTTCAGCGAACTGTGTTTTCAGTGACATTTACAAGAGGGTCCTGGCCGCTATACCACCTAGCGGTCAGTGAGTGTAAACAACTTCTCACGTCAGTCTGATGAAGGCCTTCGACCAAGTGGGCCGTAAGCTAACGGTATGAAAAAGAAATTGAGGCTTGTGTTTGAGAATTTCATGTACCTGTATATCCAACAATCAAGCTAATGAACATTTTTGCTCAAGTTTATTAGTGTTATTATTATTTTATTTGTAAATACTTAGAGGTTTTAAGATTTGAAACAACTCAATCTCTGTTGAATAAGATAGTATAAGACGTACCCCATTTCCAGAGATTAGATCGATCTACTTTAGGGGTTCACGCTAAACAGCTGTCAGAGGGGCGGACACGAAAGTTAATTACCCCCTTACAGCTTGTAGTAGGCGAGACGGACATTTAAGCCGGATTATCAGACAGTAATCTAGTGAGACTCCCCGCGGGGACAGATCAATCTAAAAGCTCTGGGAATACAGCCTAAGCTAGCTGGATGTTCTTGCCATGATTAACATCTCATTATTATTTCATCCATATTAGCATTGCATTTACACAAAATAATGTAAGGCTTCACACAACAAGATATACAAACAAACGTTATGGTGGGATTTTATGAGACAGAGGCTTAAGTATCATGGTAGAATATTTTATGTTATTTGTGGAGTGGTCCTCCCCCCCAATACATTGCTGCACATGTGCAACCATTAGTGAATATTAATATGTATAGGCTAAGCCCAACTCCAATGAGAATGTTTTTTAGGGAACATTTACTGTATCTTGTGAGCCAGAAAAAGTAGGATATCTTTTCACAGAACAAGCTGCAATGTGATTAATTTAATTAGGACTGTTAGGAATAACCCTTGTAACTTTCCCTTATGAATAGAATCAGTAAAGGTATACATAAATAGTATAAATAAAGAAATACGTTGACAAACAGTATCAATAAAGGAATAATGATAATGAGTAGGATGACTGGTAGATGTAGTTCAGTTAAAGAGAAGAGGCATTTTTATTCAAGGCATCTTATATTAATCTGGACAGCAGAATGCTAGTGGGCTCCCTATTAATTATTAGATCTTTAAGCTTGATTAATTTGTCTTTGTTGCAACAAATATTAAACAGTGGGTCTCATTTACCTGTAGTTTGTTACAGCTTAGTTCCTCATAAAAGGAACATGCTGAGCCACTAATACATTGAATCCTAAACCTACCCTATGCCCTTTGAATCATGAGGATAAATGTAATATTATAGTTGCCAATATCACTTGGTGTCAATCATGTGATAAACTCACGTTACTGTCTTATCTTATTTCATTATTATTTATTTATTTTATAGTTAAATCATAGTGATTGTATATACAATTGCACTTGCAACAATCAAGGATTTGCGGTCTGCTCTGTATTTGCTAAATCATTTGTATATCCAGGTAACCAGATGTTTTTATTTGAAATATGTATTCTCTGTTGTCTTTTTATTTATACAGGGCAACTGTTTTTATAACTGAATTTTGAGCACATTACTGTTTTTACATATCTTTGTTACACCCACTTGGATATTTATCCAACGTTAAAGTTGTTTCTGTAGTAGTCAGTATCTGCACATTATAATGCACTAATATATATGGTATGGAAAGTAAAATGTTATTTTGCTTCTTTTACAGAACCATCAACCAGTTGTACTCTTCCCAAAATACAAGGTCCATCTCCCAAGAAATTGAGATCAGTCTCAGGGTTTGGTATATCAAAGTCACCAGTGCTGCCAGCTATCTGCATTATTTGTAAAAAAAAAAAAGTTGTGGTCACTTAGTCTAATTTTTGCAAGTGTTTTGATATTTAATGGGGAGACACTCATTTTGATGTAATTTTCACATTCATAATATTTTTTTTATTGTTTTGTATGTCCTTAATTTGTTTGAGATTGAGCTATTTAATTCCTGCCAGAAGTGTTTTTCGGTTTTTATGTTCAATATTTCTAAAAGGTTTTCTATTTGATATAATTTATTTGGTGGGTTGTTATCTTCGGATAGATTCATGTGTTTCCCTTTGTATCTTGCTCAAGGCTGTGCGCCTGATTTACAGTTCTATTATCTACTAGTAGTTGTTCTAGTCTAAGAATAATCTTAAGACAGGTTTAGTTATAGTTGAAATAATAGGGTAACTGCCAAGCTCAGCTCTAAAAATGGATTTGCTAGCCTGCTTTCTTAGACCTAAAATCCATTTGCAAAACTTTAAGTGTACCTGTTCGAATGGCATTTTATTAATCTTTTTCAGATATGCACAAAGAAATGTTGAAAGTTATAATTTCACAGTTGAAATAATTAAGTTGGAAAAAATATATTATATATATCATAAAAACCATGTTAAATGTGAGCTGTTATTTCTTTTAATATGCTGTTGTTACTAAACAATGCTGCAATTAATTGCAATAATCAAACTTCCTTAAAACTGTACCTCTGCAATTTAAAGATAAACTTGAACATAAAAAACTCAATTATTCTACCTAGTGAAGCACTTAGATATTTTTGAAATAATGTTTTGAGCACTTGCCAGCTTCATAAACAGACAGCCCGCATGATATAGTTTGTAACTCTACACATGGATTTATACTATTCATCAGTGTAAAATATTGAGTCAAATATTTTTAAGTGATTATATGCGCTTTAACACACCTGAGAATTTAAAATGCATTCAATGTAACATTACTGAACATACATGCAAGTGATTATATGATCACTATATTGGGTCAATCAATTATCTATATGTTGGCGCATCCTACGGTTGCCAAATTTATTGTGGGTATTTTTTAACTGTTTATCTTCATGCACCGTCAAAATTGTCTGGCCACTGGAGCTTTTAACACAATGAAACGATAGACCAGTGTACCTGTAGGCAAGGGACTACAAGTGAAGACGGAGGAATAAAGCAGAGTTCCCTGATGACTTCCTTCCCAATAAAAGTTTTCGTGTAATTATTGAACTGAGTAAAAATGCTTTTAATTCCTGCCTACTTTTGATATTTATCTGGCACCTCTGAACTTGTGTCTTAGTATACAATAATACATATATTGGGTATACAATAATAATGATAATAATGTATGAAAGTGAAAATGATTCAATTAAAAGCTAAAGCTGTGAACCCGCGTATACAAATTTAATGTATTAGCTGATGTTAAACAAAGTAATATTTAACTAGTAAAAAATCTTATTAAGTCACCAGCATGTGTTAAAATGCACTGAACTTTGTTTACTGTAATATATTGGTAATTGGCCAGTCAACCATTAATTATCCATTGTGATAACAGTTAACTATTCGATATAAGCTACTGTTTCCTCAGTGTAACATATTAACTCATTACAGCTCGAAAAAAACTCTGATCAGATATAGGTCAACTTTTGAATGGAATTAGAAATTTGGAAATTAAAATTAAAAGTAAGTCACGAGGCTAGGGTCAAATGTTGCACAAAGTTGAGTTCGGTGGACTGTGGACAATTATGAAAAATTAAACTAATTAAATTAACCGTGATAAAGGAGTGTGACAACTATGATCCTGCATAAATAATAAATGGGTTATGTCAGGGAAGATGAAGGAACAGCACAGGTTATTAAGAGGGACTTAGCATAAATCAAATCCAGATCAATGGTGCTAAATTTCGCTTTGTTAAATTCAATTTAGTGAGGCCTAATTTAAAACTATTGTTAATATATCAATAATGACAAGTCCTCTAAGGAACTGAATTTGACTGGTTTTTAACTTTATATATTCTAATGGATGTAATGGGTTTTGCCTTAAATGAAAACATCATTAAATAAGCAACCTTCATTACGCATGCGTACAATCAAATTATTGACCAGTCGTTAAACATCCATAGTAAGAGCGACACAATAACGTGCGAGAGAACTAGAGATTCGTGAAACGGCACTCATAACTAGTAAGAGGCTAACTCCCGATCGCTAACTAACGGCAGTTTCGTGACACGGGACCCAGATTAGATAGAACCTCGAAGACTTACATGATACTAGGTATGAAAACGGTGTTACGAATAATTATTACTTTATTCAAAAGTAATACTTTCATGTGAACATCATATAAAATTCACACGTATATACAATTATGTGATATGATGTTTTTTTTTTTTTTTTTTTTTTTTTTTTTTTTTTTTTTTTTTTACAAGTTAAAGTGTCCAAACATTTCGAAAATTGACCTCATTATAGCTCCTTGCATAGAAGCTGCTTGGTGCTAAGAATTCCATTTAGTCGAGTCGCCACTCCCATAGGGCCAATAGTCGAACCCTGCAATGTTCTTTCCTGTAAACTTTTTTTGCTGAAATGCATTCTTCAGGCCGAGAGAAGCAAAATTAGCTTGGTTGCTATTTCCGAGACCTTGAGCATTTTTCAATATGTCCGTCACTTTATGAGGAAAAATAGAAGAACGACCAGAAGTCGCCGGGTAAACTTTATTGATAGCATTTTTGAACTTGTATCCTATCAGGAGAGCACAACAGTACTAGTGAATACGCTTAAGCGCGTACCACTTAGCAAAAAACCAAAATGGCCGTCAAAACATTTGGTAGAAAATGATAAAAGCTGCAGAATTGGTTTGTTTTTTGCATATTTATTTCTATTAAAACCATATCCCCTTTTTATTTTTATGTTAATTATAATATTTTGTTATTCATGACCCGAAACTCTTGGAATAAGCTTGTCTGACTGTTCAATAACCCCCCCCCCCCCCAAGAGTCTTTTTGCTACCCTTGGGGTCCCATAGTCAAATACTTAGAATGTTATTCCCTGGTTTTTTAAAAATAATTTAACACTTTCGGGGTATAAAAGCCAATTTGATTTGGGCTTTCTTGGCAGTGGCTAGATATGGAACATTGATCAATTTTCAAAATTCAAGATGGCCGTCAATAATATAAAAAATATTATAATATTATTATATTATAAATAAATAATTATGTAACATAGCAAAAAGTTGGGTTTCAAGTGCATGGTATTCCACATTTTAAATGACCGCTCAAACATGCCTAAAAAAAGGTAAAAAAAGCAGTTATATTACGTTTTAAACTGATAATTTGGCGTATAATAAAATATATCTAACCCTGTTATTTATTGACAATGTGTACTTGTAAGGTACAGTTATACTAAGACTCTATAAAAGAGGATCATTGATAGGACTGACCACTGGCCATTACGTAAGTTCTCTTTTTAATACAGAAATTTTATCGAGGGCTAACAGGGGGTTCTGCAGGAATTTGGGCGCAGGGAGTCCAAAATGTTAATCTGCGGGACTCTTATACTACATGGAGTCCAAACAAGTCCGTTGGTGGGGATGGGGTCGGGAGGGGGTGAGTGTAATTTAACTTTTGTCAAAATATTAACCTTATTGTTTTTTTCGTTTTTGTTTTTATATTGATCATACCTTAATATTTTAATTTTATATTTTTATCATAACTTTTTCATTATGTACATAAAATTTAGCTTTAAAACTTCCCATTCTTTTTATTGAAATTGGCACGTGTCGTAGTGCCTCGATCAGCTGCTGCCTTGGCCATCGGACGGCCATAATATATATATGTAGTACCAGAAGTGTCAATCGGATTCATTTCCGGAAAATAGACAGGCAGGGGTAGAACATCCACCTTTGGGACTCCAGATAGACTTAGATCATTTGTGCCGAATGTGAACGGGTCTTGTCCTGTTGGGAAACGGTGACGTCAGTTTTCCACTGCATGAACGAGGTCATGTGAGGTTGCAGGATCTGATCTATGTAGTGGCGAGCAGTTACTGGTATGTTGCCATCAACGACCACCATCAGCTGACCGCCAGCAAGCGTCGACGCACAGTGGGGCTGCTGCTCCGGTTGTTGTGCCTGCCGGGTGCACGTGCTTTTTGTGCTGTAAGACTGGCATGGCGAAACTAGTCCCGTAGCTGATGTAACCTGGTGTAGCGATCCTGGTCTGGAGTTGACACTCTCTCGCCCTGGCTGCGGTATATCGCTAACAGAGTCTGGCATGTTGTGGCATTCAACCAGGTTCCTGATTGTGGGGTGGGAGCAGCCCATACATTATAGCTCAAATCAGACTCCCCTCACACCCAGTGCCCAGAGATGTACGTTGTTCACATGATAGACATGGCATGATTCCGTTAACTGGACTAACAACATGGGTGGCCTTTTTTGGGCCTTTATAGGCCTCCAAAACCAATCATCAAAATGTGCAGATGCCCACTGAGTATTGCTCAATGTGTATTTGGTCCAATTTTGCAAAAAGCTTACCCATGTGCAATGAACCATGGTAACATGACAACTCATCATTATCTTAACTACCCGAGCACTAAGTCATCCATAAATACACAATGAATAATTACATCTACCCTACAAGTAGAAAAATGCATACATTACTATCTCAAAGCTTTCATTATCTGTAAGTATATATTGGCAAAAACAACATTTCGAATACATGATGTCGATGGGTAGCCCTCGCATATCCCCGTTCTATGTCACGTTGTCCAGAATAGCTGACCTCATGGGCCTTAACCTCTGGGTTTGTATACCCCTACTTGGATCTCGGTTATTTATAATAAAATTCATTGTTAAACAACAAAAATGCATTTACCCATAGCTGTTAAAATATTTAAAAAGTTTACAAAGATAGGATAAGAATAATCCAACCTGAAGAAAACGATTTGACGCCTTTTTTTATTTCAAAATGATTGAGTTTACACATACTCGAATGATATTACCTTTCATTAATTTTTGATTTAGAATGAAAAACTAGTCAGGACTGAGATATT